GTACTATAAAAATATATTACATGACAGCATATGCTAGAGAGGAATGCTAGGGATTAAAACCCTATATGAGGGATACAACTTTCCTCACTGCATTTACCATTCATACATTTTCACTATTTTCAAATTCCTGGTAAGATAGTCGTAGTGGATGGACTGAAGCAGACATCTTTGGCGATACCCATGATAAACCAAACAAGTCCAAGACGACATTGCACATCCAACTGGCAAACTTATACTGATATTGATTTCATCGAAAGATATAATGACTTGAATATGAAGAACCTCAGACTATTTTACTAACCAACTGATGTAAGAAATCTGAAGAATAACATAAAATCAGCAATATTTCAGGTCAACACAAGCAATCTTTTGGAGGAACCTGAGGGTGCTCCTATGCAAAACCCTAACCATGAATTCCAGAGCAAAGTTCTCTTCCTTTATTTTAAATCACATCGCTCTCCTTGCAACCCTTATCCAATCCCTATATATAATAAAGACCTTAGACTCCAAGATATCTTAATTCTAATTAAAATAGAATTCCTAGTTAAACAAAATTCAAACTGACATTTTTACCCTAGAATCCTTGATAAAATGAATAACTCCACAAGTACTATAATTACATTTCCAAACAGTTCCTAAAAATCCTAAATTTTTTTAAAAACCCTAAAAACTATAAAAAACATAAAAAAAGAAAAATAAATTCTAAATATCCCCCAAAAATACATCTTTGAATTTAATAGGAAAAATTAAAAAATACGAGGCATTTGCTCTTGCATCAAACTCCCCTCCGGTTGAACCTGCCTTTGAGTTTTGCAATAGGTTAAGATAAATCTTGCACTAAAATCATTTTCTTCTTCAAATTGAACATTTTACATTGAATCCAGGGGCACGTGGGTTATTGCCCAATAATGATAGAGCCATTGACTAATATACTGTTTTAACTCTTTTCCAGAACACATTGAGGAAAGGGTCTTTATATGTCGATGGAGCACTTATGATACGTACATTCAGTTCAACCTAAAGAACAAACCAAGAGAGCAAGCATAATTCAAAGAAATATTCTCCATACACCAAGCTAGGGTTTCAAAACCTAAGCTTTTCTCTTTTTCAATTTATAAAAATCATGTGGAATTGACCCTCTCAAGGCCCCGCACACCTTATATATTATAATTCAATGTTAAAAAACATTACATCTCCAAACAATGATTAGAATAACATATATATATATATATATATATATCCTAACTTAAACTTAAATTTCGTAATGATAATTTGACCCCTGGGAACAGTACTCATGAATAGTACTTATAAAGTAAATAAAATAAAATAAAACCCTAGAACCCCTAAAAAACTAAAAAAACCCAAGAAATAAACCCTAAAACTAAAACTAGAATATACACCATTTAAAGTTGAATAATAATAATACTAATTTTTCCCTCCATCATTCTCCCCTAGTTGGAGAAAACTCGTCCTCGAGTTTTGAAATGTGTTAAGGAAAAATCGGCGTTAGTCCGGTAACATTCTTCAACTCAAATATTGTAAACATGATCCTGGGACTTGTTGGTTACTGCACTAATCAAAACACAATGATTGTGCATTAGAATTGAGAAACCCTCGAGGAAAGGATCATTGTATGTAGGAAGGATATTTTTAATCACATAAATTTGTTGAAATTGCATCACGTCAACCATGTAACCCTGTTGAATTTGCCCAAACTCAGCTCTAGAACATACCATGGGTGCATCTTTGAGATCAGCGTCTAAATCAACAACTTCACCTATAAATTCTCGTTTGAGTCGTTCATCTTTTTCCTCGTCAAATACTAATTTAACCACAAAATATTGATTATCATTGTAGATTTGATCTCTTACATGATCTTGTTCTTCATCTAAGTATGCGTCGAAGATTGATGGTAGATCCCAATCTTCATCCTGCGGATTTTCGATATGATCTATGTCAAAATCAAGAATCTCATCATCCAAATTGAATGATGTTCAAAACATCTAGGTCTTTTGTACCTCATCAGTCGACTCCCCAAGTGGAGCGCAAAAGTGAAAAGGTTACTCGAGATCCTCTTGGATTGAAAGATCACTGTCTTGCCCATTATTGAGGCTCGCGAACTGCTGCGCCAGTTATTGTACTTGCCTTTCAAGTTCCTCAATACTGTCATCTACGAGATCACGAAGTGAATCTACCAAAGTCCCCTATGGCCCCTACTTGATGCCATGGGTTCGGGGAAATCACAAAACCCTAGGCAAATAATAAAAAAAAAAAGTGCATAAATCATAAAGATTTAAGTTGTTTTGGCAAAACCTTAGCCAACATCAGTAAACCCTTGACCCCATTGTAACTTCCCTGCTTTGAACCAAAAATATCGGTTCGGTGCTACAATAACTCCATATAGTGCTACAATACTTTCCATATAGATCGCGGGCTCTGATTCCGCTTGATACAGGGGAATTTGAAAGAAATAGTAAAATCAACATGAAACAAAGCTAAACACAAGTATAATTTAAAGAAACCTAGGGTTTTTTCTCCATACTCCACGCTAGAGCTCCAAATGCCTAAGCTTTCTCTTTTTCAATTTCTAAAAAACATGTGGAATTGACCCTCTCAAGGCCCTACACACCTTATATATTATAATTCAATTTCAAAGACATTACATGTCCATACAATGATTAAAATGACATATATATGCCAACTTAAACTTAAATTTCGTAATGACAGTTTGACCGCTGTGAACAATGCCCATGAAAGTAGTACTCGTGAATAATACTTATAAAGTAAATAAAAAAATAAAAACCCTATAATCCCTAAAAAACTAAAAAAACCCAATAAATAAACCCTAAAACTAAAACGAGAATATACATCCTTTAAAATTAAATAATGTCCTCCATCAGCATCTTCAAGATGAGCACTAAATTTGATGACCGATTCACCACCCTCACCTATTAATTCTCCTCCATAGATTTCACCCACCAAATTATCATCAATGATAGGACCTTCATCCAAAGATGCACTCACTATTGAAGACAGGATCCCTAATTCCTTCAAACGGTTCCCCATCAAAGGTTGGATCACCTATGAAATCAAGACGGTCATCAAGGGTTCCCCATCAAAGGTTGAATCACCAATGAAATCATGACGATCATCAAGGGATTGGGGAAGAAATCCCCTTTTCATTTTTGGGAACTTCTTGGTAATTAAAAACCCTCTCTACGGTATTTAACCAATCAATAAAAATTCTCGTGGTTGAGGTTTACTATCAAAATTGAGAATATCAACCTTCATATCAAGAACCCGAGATTGATGTCCACGTCTACGCCTTCCTCCACTTTTCTCTTCACTTGACTCCCCAAGCAAAGCATGACGGTGAAAAAGGTTATACTAGGCGTATTCTTGAGCGGAAAGATCACTGTCGTGCCCAGGAATGATGACTGCGAGCTGTTGAACCTGCCTCCTGAGGTCTTCTATTGCCTCATCTCTAAGATAACGGAGTAGATCTAGAACAAGCCCTCTTTCTTGGTCCTCCTACGGCCTTGGATTCACCCAAATCACAAACCCAAGGCAGAAAACCAGCAAAATCTAGTCTGAAATTAGCAAACTCTGGGTTGGAATCAGCAAAATTTTGGTCGAAATCAGCAGACCTTCACCCAAATTCAGCCCCTAGACTTGCTGTCGGTTCCTAGCCTTGCTGTTGAAGAAACTCGAGCTATGATACCAAATTGAAGTGGGAAATTGATAGACGAATAGAATATCAGCAATATTTCGGGCCAACACAAGTAATTTCTTGGTGAAACCTGAGGGTTCTCCTACATAAAACCCTAACAAAGTATTTAGAGCAAAGCTCTCTTCCTTCTTTATTTCAAAAATCACGTCAATCCGCTCACAATCCTCTTCCAATCCCTACATATGATAAAGACCTTACTTAGATCCCAAGAAATCTTAACTCTAATTAAGATAAGAAGTCCTAATTACAATAAAGTTCGCAATGAAACTTCTATCCCTTATCAAATAAATTATTCCATCAGTACTCTAACTACTTTTTCAAACAGCTCCTACAAATCCTAAAAAACCCTAAAAACTCTAATATCCATAAAAAAACCTTAATAATCAGAAAAATAAACCCTGATAATCCCCCAAAAAATATAAACTTGAATTTTAATAGGAAAAATTCAAAATACGAGGCATTTACTCTTGCATCATTAATCCTCCTAGCAACCCTAGTTCTCATAATTACCACCTCACTCTAACCTAATCAAAAGAGGACTTAAATCATTAAGCTTAATATCACTTACATCCGTCCTAAAGCAAGCACAGGACATTAGTTTTCCTGCCACTCAACTAATTCATGACGGTAACCTTAGATTTGGACATGAACCTGTCATGTGTAAACCAGATCCAACATGATTTTTCCTTTACCCATAAAAATGGGAGATTCCTGATAATTGGAAGCAACAGTCTCAATTTCTTAAAAGGAAAAACTAATAATTGATAGGGATTTCTTTTTTTATAGTTAGATATTTGATGTGTCATATAGCAAGTACTCCCATTGTACACAAAAAACATGAAGTAGATGTCATTGTTATTTTAATAATCGATAAAGATGGCCAAACGAATTACATACTTATGCAGTCATACATATTATTGAAGAATGGAGGAAACTATTATTTACTGAGAAATGAATTACATTAGAAAACAAATAGCTTTCAAAATAATAATGAAGTGTCAAACTGGGAAAAAAAAAAAAAGAAGACCAGGATGCCTTTGCTGTTTCCAAAAAATGATTAGCAATATTACCAAATCAGGAATTGCAAAATAGAAATTACACTAGACCAGTCAACCATTCACAGGTTTCCATTAATTAACAAATTTTAAGAAATTTCTCAGTCTACATGAAATTAGAAGATAGGCAACAGCCCTTAGTCTTAGATACTGAATATTCATATTTGACAAGAAAAAGGAAGAATAACAGTGAGGGTTATGTTTAAATATCTTACAACAGTGGTGGAATCGCTTGAGCATTTAAGTAGAGAGTGAGGTGCGACAGCCATTAGTTCATCTCTATAACTAGCTGCATCCTGAAAACATTACCAAAGTAAATAATATAATGCAGATAATATAACAACTGTATCAACCATTCTCATCAACAAATTAGAATACCCAATCAACATGAAATATTCGAAGAAGAATTACTCTTTTAGTACAACTACAATATAACATTCAAATTTGTGAAACTCAATATGCGGATATTAGACTTGGACTCCAGTTGTCTTTATACTACAGTCGAATTGAAACTCAAACCCTCATCACAACCAACTATTAGAAAAACAATTTGTTTAAAAAATTCAAATGGGTAACCATCAAAAAGAGAAATTTAAACACTTGCATTACCAATTATTTATGAGTAGCAATTCAAACTTGCTGGTCTTCAACTGTGTCATGTTGGATGATATGCTACTCTTTGTTCTGTTTAGTCATTTGCAGTTAATGACACGTATATGAAAATACTTCAGTTCTTAGACCAATATTATCTTTAAGCAGATAGGTTTGCAAGTTCATTTAATCTGTTAGTCTTCAAACAGACACATTGCTTCCAGATCCTCATGCCCATTATCTCTACAACCTCAAACCTGTCCAAGAATGTCCGAAACAACTACAGGCAATAGACATAAATTGTCTAATAGGATCATGTCATCTGAAATCAATAGATTCCAACTGTATATCTTGTTCAACATACATAGATTTTTATGTTTTCAAGGTTCAGCTAATTGTTAAACAAACTGTTCAGAACCCTTTACTTCCATCTAGTACCATGTCCATAATTTGATAAAAAGGAACTGGGATGGGGGAGGCCATTTAAGTGGAAAAACTGTTTTGCAATAGTGTTTTCCATCAAGGTTTTTGTGGTCAATGTAATAGTATCATCCTATCCCATCTTCGTCAGATATTTCCTTAGTTGGTGGAGAATTATAAATAAAACTTAGAAACAGCGATTAAAATGATAGTCCCAGAAATGATGGCCGGCAATAGTGTTTTTCATCAAGGTTTTTGTGGTCACATGCTCACATGTGAGACAAAGGCATATTCATTAATGGCTCAGATGGTTCACCAGAGAGCTCCACAAGTTCCAGCCAAAACTGACCAAAAAATGAGACAGGAGGATGATATTATGGCCCTCCTAAAGGACCAATAGCTTTTCTACAAAAATAAAATAAAATAAAATAATGATAATAATAATAATTTTTTTAAAAAAAATAGTTGTAACTAATAACATCCTATGACTTCAACAAAAGTTGTAACACTCTGCCCAACCTTTGTTTGCTTCTTCGTCTAATTTGAAGTTGTTCATTCAAATGCTTTACACTAACCACCTATTTTCATAAAGAGCTTTATGACATAAATATATGTAGGGGATACAAAACTGCCATATTTCCAATATAACAAGAAATTGAAATGCAACACAGGTCATCAAGATGGTGGAGCAGATTACAGCTTCTGTAATTAGTTTTATTTTTTATTATCCTATATCATCTCCATTATGTTGGAGCATCGCGTTCCTTGCTCCCTTCTTTTTTCACTCTCTCTCTCTCTAGATAAATCTTAAGAGACGGTTAATAAAACTGAACCCTATACTTGGTAAAGCATGGGGTCACATGGACTCTCATGGACCATTAAAAAAAGGACCGTGTGTCCCTTTAGTTTACCTTTTACAAAGGCGGTCCTTTGTGTCTACAAATAGGGGTAGTGTGTTTGTGTCCTGTGGTGTGTAAGTGTGGGCAAGTACATATGAGTGAGCGATGCTTTATGTAATAGAGTCCGATCAGGAGCCATTTTATGTAAGCAATGAGATGCATTGAAGCCAACCGTTTAGGACCGAACTTCTTGGTGAAGGACATCGATGAGCGACCCACCAATCACGATGGAAAACCTAGCAAACACAATAAGAGGGCTCAAGAAGTTGAACCACCAAAACTATGACAACCGGCGTTACGGTATCTAATTGTCCTTGCAAGGATAGGATCTCTGGGAGGTCGTTGGTGGCAATGAAACTTTTGCACCTATGAGAGAAAATGTTGAGGCGCTGCGGCGATGCCGCATCAAGGTCGGAAAGGGCATGTTCGTACTAAAGACAACAAATCAAAAGGAATTGTTGAACCCCTTCCGAGAGGCCACAACTCCAAAAGAAGCCTAAGACGCGTTGGCAACATTGTTTGCAAAACGAAGGATACTTGACTGCAATTGTTAGAAAACGAGCTTGAATCAGTTTCCTAAGGAACAATGTCGATCAATCAATATTTCACAAAGAGTGAAAGCTCTCTGCCATGAGATCTCCAAACTCAATCCGGAATCACATATTAGTGACATAAGGATGAGATAGATTATCACTAGAGGATTGAGACCCAAGTACAATGGGCTCATGACGGCAATCAGACGTTGGCCGACCTAGCCATCTCTTTTGAAATTAGAAAGTCTATGAAAGATGAGGAGGAAGAACTTCTTACTCGGAAAAGTCTATGAAAGATGAGGAGGAATCATTTCTCACTAGGAAAAGCGAAATCACGAAGAAAGGAGGGACTACTAAAACTCGCCAAAAGATAGAGGGCTCCCAGCAAGAAGGAGCCAAACGAGGCAACACGTACACTGAACAACGACCAAGAAGAGCCCAACAACAGTGTTACAATTGTGGCAAAAAGGATCACTATGCTCGTGAATATTAATTAAAGAAAAAGAAGGAAGCTAAAGGAAATACAATGACAGTGACAAGTCATCAAAGAGAGACCGAAGAAGAATGGGATGCTCAGGTGTCCTTTGCGATAACTAAGAAATCTAAACATACAAATTTGGAACTAGCCAACCATAGATTCGAAAACACAAGAGGCTATAGAAAAGGGCTGACACCAGCCTATGAATTGAGTGAACCATGTTGATCAGAAGAACCAGAGGAGTTAGGTTTTAGCTCAATCTCCAAGGTACGTGTGAGTGTACCTACTCAAGAAAAAGTCAGAGGTCTTCGAGAAGTTCATGGACTTCTGAACAAAGGTTGAGGACGACACCAGCTAGAAGATTCAGTGTCTACACACCAACAATGGAGGAGAATACAGCGCAACAGAATTTCTAGACTACATAAGAAGGATGGCATCTGAAGCCAGCAGACCTGTCCCTACATCCCACAGCAGAATGGAGTAGCTGAGTGGAAGAATCGGCATCTAGCCAAAGTTGCAGAAGTATGTTACATGTTAAAAATGTGCAAGACAGATTTTGGGCTGAGTGTATAAAGATAGTGGCGCACATAATCAATCGGCTATCTTAGCCAAATTTAGAATTTATATCACCATATGAGACGCTCTGGAAGATCAAACCAACTGTAAGTCACTTTAAGGTATTTTGTTTGTTGTGTATTTATTCCTGAAATTTGCGCAACAAGCTCGAGAAAAAGATGCTATAGTGAATATTTATGAAATATGACACCGAAAGAAAGGGGTGGAAGTCTTGCGACCCCACGACTAACAAATGTTGCATATCATGATGTAGTGTTCGATGCGGATCATCCTGGTGGACTCTGAAAATCACAAAAGTACCACATTACTGGAGATGAGCAACGATTGAAGACTAACGAGACTCAAGACAAAAAGTCAGTTGAACCAAATTAGGAGGATGAGACGCAATACAACACACTAACTACACCAAGAAGATGCACCAACTCCTGAGAGATGGTGTCCATCAATCAGGGACACCTATGTAATCTCGACCGAGCCAACTAGAAGAGATCATTGAAGAACCACATTGTTAGCAATCAACCAGGATAAAAAAACCGAACCCCAATTTTGTGGATGCTTCGTCAGCCGAAGTAGGTGATATATGAGGGTGAGCCAACGTTGAGAATGGTGGAAGGCCATGGAGGAGGCGATCTTAGCACTAGAAAAGAACTGGACATGGGATTTGTTCCTAAACCTATGGAGATAAAGCCTATTTCTTTGCGATGGGTGTACTAAGTGAAGACCCGTGCCGATGGATCAATTGAAAGATATAAACCCGGCTTAGTTGATCTATGGGATCAATTATGAGGAGACCTTCAGTCTTGTGGCCAAGATCACAACAGTATGTGTACTACTTGCGCTGACAACTAGCAAGTCATGGAAATTATGACAGATGGACATCATGCTTTTCTTCATGGAGAGGTCGATTGGAATATCTATATGGAGTAACTTAAAGGATTCAAAAGTAGAGATTGACCAAATCATGTCTACAAGCTAAGGAAGGCCCTCTACGGACTGAAGCAAGCACCAAGAGCTAGATATGGCAAGATTGTGGAGTTCTTGTTGCAGAATGGATATGTAGTCAAACCTATCACCTCGAGTTTATTTGTAAAGTCAGAAATGGTTGATTATCTATTATACTTGTTTATGTCAATGACTTGATTGTCACAAGAGATGACGTTGAGGGAATCAACCGCATAAAGAAGATTTGTTTGTATGATTTCAGATGAAGGACCTCGGGGAGCTCAAACATTTCCTGAGACTCAAAATTGATCGTGCTTGGGAATGTCCCTTCTTGTATCAACAAAAGCATACAAGAGACCTAATAAGGAAGTTCAATATTGTCGAGTACAAGCCAATCATGAAACCAATGGAGATGAATGTGAGGCTAAGTGCAGAAGCCAAATCTACTTAACATTCACTCTGCCTGAAATTACACATGCAATAAGAGTAGTTAGCTAATTCATGCAGAATCCCAGGAAACGTCATTTGGAGGCTGTTCATAGAATTTTGCGATACATCAAAGGTACTTCCATTGTTCCAAAAGGCAGACCGCTTAGCACGTAGGCCGTCCAGAGGGCATGAGCGCCTTGCCCAGAACTAGGTGGTAATAATAGAGGCTTGCCCTTGGGCGGCTGCCTAGGCTCTTGGGCATCCGCCTAAGAGGGAGCCCAGAGCCCAACCCTAGGTAGCCGCTCAGGGGAGACGGAAATGCCCCTCGTTGAGGAGCATTTTTGGGTTGTCATATAAAAATAAGAGGGGAAAAAGGTGAGATTTAGGTTTCTTTCAAACCTAAACCCTATCAAAGCCCATTTTAGAGA